CAGAAAAAAAATTCTATTTCGCCGTATGAAATTTTATAATTCAATACAGTATTGATACAAAAATATATTTTTTCTTTTAGTTTAAGTTATAAAAATTTACTTTTATTACAATTCGGAAATTTTGCTCGATGTTCCTTGACAACTTGCAGTAAATATTGAAACTGGTCTTCGTTTTTTGTCAAGCATTGGTTGTATTCAGACGGCGCTAGTATGACAAGTACTGACAAGTTCAAATTCCCCAAACAAAAAATATTCAGTTACAAATTTTGTGGAAAAAAGAAATTTGATGACATTTTTAATAAACCCGTTGAAAAATATTAAATTAAGATCCTAAATTGTGATAAAAGTTATAAAAAGAAAATATCGTTAAAAAATTTATTCGAAAGAAATATATTCTCAAACAAAAGATAAGACATAACTTTCAAACTGAAATAAACTCAAATTCTCATGAATATTGTCAAAATTCATAAATTGAATGGATAAATTGAAAATATTTATTAAAAAACTTATAATCAGGCACTGGGATTCTACTGCGAATATCTTCTAAATGGTTAGAGTAATCGATTAACTACATTGGCGATTTTTTGTAGAGCGTTTAATTTCCTATAGAAATAATTGAAACTTATTTGACAATAATTATTTGTTAGTAAGTTACGAAATTCAAAACAAAAAGTTATTTTCCTTAAAATACTTCAACTTTTGACCTTGAATATCTTTTAAATGGTTAGATTACTGAAAAGAGTATATGAGACCATTATTGTAGAGCGTTCAATTTCCTATAAATATTGATGATGCAACTGGTTTAACAATCTATTGGTGATAAGCAGGGAACGGATTTTACGGAAATTGCCTTTTTTCTGCTAAAGAGATAGAGTATATTCGATTAAGAATGTCCACGATTTAGCTTTCCCTGATTCCATATATACACATTTTATATTGCCTTTTTTTGCCTTTTTTAAGATACTAGTGTTCGCCCAGCGGTTGAAATTCAACCGATAAAATTAAGGATAGTTTATGTAAGTTGAATGAGCTAAAATAACATTAGTTGGAATGGGTTAAGTGGAGGGGAGTTTAGCTTAG